CTCTGAATTTTAACCCTTGGGCAGCAGCAGGTTCTTTTGCATTGCGCGGCAGTGCCAGGAACTTTTTGCAGGCTTCTGCATTTTGGTTTGACCAAAGGTTACCAAAATGCAGCTATGGCTGAGTATAGCCAAAGTTGGGAAAAATCCTGAGAAGAAAATTCAAAGTCATAATAATTGAAAGTTTGTTTAGTGATGTTGTTAGAATCCAAAACTCTCAAATTGCTTCAGTTTACAGGTGATTATGAGCTGTAGCCATCTGCATAGAAACATCAAACATTGGTTGTTTACATTGCACATAGCACAACAGCATCCAGTTTATACCCTAAGAGCTCTTGTCCTGCTTGATTTTGGTATGGGAAAGAACCATCTGTATATATTTTCTGTAAGTATCCATTTTTTGAGGAGTCAATGTTCTGGCCATATTTCAACACCATGTAATGCAGCTGCTCGGACTATGCAGTCAAAAAAACATTGATACCATTTTTGTGTCTTTCAATTCTAACTTACTTCAAACAAGTTATAACTCACTCATGCTGCCATATCTCTCTAATGTGTGCATCCCTTCACCCCGGGCATCCCAGCTTGTATTTGCTTTCCCGGTGAGATAAAATGATGGTTCCCATTTGTTCCTTGTACTTGTTTCCTTTGATTCCCCGTTAGCAGTGGTGTAACCTCCAGCATGGAGGCAAAAAGGGTGCACTTTACAGCATACTGTAGTCTGTAAATTGTAACCTGATACTTGGGGAGATTTCTGCTAGCCAATAAATCTTGCCTAATACAGTCAACCCCCATCTAATGGACTTGATTCGTGCAAGGGACGAGTCTGTTAGACAAAAAGTCCTTTACATGAATTCAATTACATAAAAAATTTAAAATTTCAATTTTCAACACTAATTTTAAACCAAAAGAAGTCTGTTTGGCAGATTTTGTCTGTTTGGCGGGAGGAAAAACTGCTTGCAGAGCTGGTCTGTTCAGCAAAAATCCCTTACACGGGAGGTCTGTTAGGCGGGGGGCCACTGTATTTCCATTTGTTCACAGTGTACTGTATGTTTTGTGTAATTATACTGTATATGTTGATGTTCTGTATTTAAATGGAGTATTGATCATATTGTACCATTGAATTTAATCCTTTCATACATTTTTTATTACTCCTTCTTGAATTGAATTCATCTGCCACTACTTTAAACAAAAGATATATTTGTATGTAGATCATGTTCCTCAAATATGTGGTTTTATCAACACGGAGCAAACAATGTGTTTCAAGCGTTCAATACCGTGGGACTTTAAAGCTTGCTGGAGAAAGAAATTTTTACACTACTGTATATTCACACAGAAATACTCAACTTCCCCGTAAACTACTGTTTGAATTCTTGGATCTTTTCACTCATCAACTAAATGTAGAATGCGCACAAATCCTGATCAACCAATGCGGACAAAGGGATTTCGAAGTTGTGAAAGATAAATCACGAGTCAAATCAATAGAACAGTGCTGCGTGTATGGTTTGAAGTGTTATGATTTATTGATGGGTGTTGATTTACAGGGAAACAAGGATGAATGACGAAGCTCTTGGAAACTAGATGTTTTCCATTCATCGATTTCTGACTCAATTATCGTTTACTATCATTTCCGTCCTTTGTGACCGAAAACGTGAATTTCATATCTTAAAATTTGTAAGAAAAAAGTGTACTTCTTTTAAATTAGGGTGGGTATAACCGCATTTTCAATGTGTGCTTCACGGAAAATACGAGGAGCTCTTTCAACCGGCAGCTGCTGGAATTGGCGACTGTTGCTGATGATTGTAGCTTTCCTCTTTGCAACACTTATATTAGTTAATTATCTCAATGATGGATCTGTCAGTTCTCACCAAAATAACCTGGAAAACCAACCGTGCCAGATCGTCCAAAGGAGCAAGACAAACCTGAAGAAACTGGATTTGAACAGGTTTTTTTCTTTTGAATTTCCCATGACCATGCATGGTTATCGTTGACTGCCTAGACTTAGGAATTTCCTTAAATTTATAAACAATCTGAATATTTCCCCAGCTTTCACATGCAAAACCAAATTTTATCTGAAGTGCCGGGAAAAGCATGGCGTTGGAATTTCCGAGGACTTTATGTACCTTGCAACACTTTAAATATATATTACGTGGATTAGAATGGAGCAGACTTCAGCTCATACTTCGAATCGAAAACGTAGTTGCTACACATGTTTTATCTGTTTTTCAGTTATACATTATTTGTACACTATACCTAGTTATTCCTTCTGATGAAAAAAAAAACTCGATTACAATATCACGCACGTTTTGAACGAAAATCACGATATAATGATTCATGCATATTGACAGAAACTCCAAGCTCCTTCATATTTACTCATTCGTCATTTCTGTAATAGCTTGAGATATGGCTCGACATTTTTAAAAGTGAAAATTGCCTTTTATATTGATGAATTCTCAACAGATTAATTCCCAACATGACAGCAAACCAGTATTTTATCCCACTCACGCCGGAAGCAAAGATAATAAACTCGAAGCTGGATCTGAGCCCTTTCAGTCCCAAAAAGGATAAAGCGAAAAATGCCATTTACATGATGGAAACATCCGGCAGACAATTGCTGAGTGCCAAACAGCTTTGCAGTGTGGAGTCTGCAGCAAGGCACCACCCCAGCAAAACATTAGTGCTATTAGTTACCGCAAATGCTATAGTGTATCCAACTCTCATCACATTGCTCCTGAATAAACACGAGAACATCATCGTGAGAAAAATAGATGTCGGAAGGTTCCTCAGCACATCGCCTTTGAAACAGATGGATATCGAGAACACCTTGAAGAAGAGCAAGTGAGAATATATATAGCCTGTGCTGTAGTGAAGAACATCAACGTTGGATGCTGGAAATATGTTTTCTTCAATTTCCTAGGTATGTCACAGAGCATGCCAGCGACTTGATGAGGTTTGCACTTTTGCACGAGTATGGTGGAATTTTTTTGGACCTTGATATGATAGTACTCAAGAAACTGCCCGAAGTTGCCAACGGTGTGGCCACTGCCAATAATGGAACGTTTCTCAACCCTGCTTTCATCGCATTTGAAAAGGACCACCCAGTTCTCCTGGACTGCATGAACCACATTTCCAAGAGGTGAGATCTCTAAGATAGAAGTAAAAATTAGAATAAAATTGTCGCTTCAGCTAATCTGCGCGACTGCAGTAAATGAAGATTTATTGACTCTCGCAAACTCGGTTGCTTTGGACGAGATACGGGTTGATGAAGTTTATCTGCTTGGATAAATATTTCCCTTTTCCTTATCTTGTCCACAATTTTGATGAGGATACTTTCTTTCGAAACTTTAAAAAAGGAGTTCGAATCTTCAACAATTGTTGAAGAACCAGAACTCCGGCCCAGGGACATCAGGTCCCAGGACCTGAATTCTGGTCCTGTTTTCCTTCAGGCATTTGTTCCCTGTATGCAAAACTTCTTCCATGTACATTTGTTCTGCCAATCAGGGGCACGAAGCACTGGAAAAAGTCCAGTGCTTTGGTCAGGACAGCTGACAGAAGGACTGGGCTAAATCCTATAGAAATCCAGCACTCTTCCACTCCCAATAATCAGTCCTTAAAATTGACTCTTACAGTAAACTTCCTTAAAAACATTCCAACCCCAATTCTTCTGATTGAATTGTTGCATTGCATTATTGCAACCTAAATTTGTGTGCACAAATTTACTGTCTTCATTAAATGTGTTTTGCATTACTGCATTTATTGTGGACTGTGATTAAACCAGACAAAACTAGGGATATGTAATTAAGGTACCCCATTAATTACATATTCCAAGCCGCAAACTGGCTGATTGCCCTGCCTTATTATTTCCCAACCTTTTCTTCCACTGCTTTATTGTTCAGTTCTTTATGTTGGGTTGATTAATTCCTCAACAACAATAAACCATGAAAGAATGATCAGCTCTATCTGCCATTTTGCATGCAGTCAGAGATGTTTTGGGGTGATGTGCTGAAAATACAGTCAAACCCTGTTAAACCGCCAATGTTTGTGCAGCAGAATTTTGGCGGTTTAACGGGGTTGGCGGTTTAACGGGGGAGGGGTTGCCACAGTATTTCATGAATAAGTGTATTTGATATTTAAAAAAAAATGTTTCAACCTCTATCCCTCCCCATCCTGCTTTTGGTGAAGATGACTCTTCATTCCTTTTTTTGTGGGGGACATAAATCTCTCATTCTTGGCATCTTTAAATTGAGAAAACAAATAATTTTAAAAATTATCACCAGAAATATAAAGCTTTGAAGAGAGGAGCCAAAAATTGGCGGTTTATCGGGGTAAAAAAATAGTGCCAAGATACTGTTTGTTTGGCAAAAAACATTGGCGGTTGGCAGATGGTGGATAAACGGGGTTTTCCCATCCCTTCAAGCTTGAGAAGATTTGTTTGGAAGGAAAAAATGGCGGGAAGCAAGGTGGCGGTTAATCGGGGGGCGGTTTAACGGGGTTCAACTGTATAAATTATGATTTTGGCGAGAATATTCTTTTTGGTTCAAGACTTGTTCAGAAGGTTTTGGATTTAAATCATGGGCTCTGTATTAAAACAACAACAAAAAATGCACGTATATTTCTTATAATTTTTTATTGTGGATTTAATTTTTTCAGGTTCAGCGTGAGTAGGTTCAACGGAAATGGCCCGGTCAAAATCACAGAGGCCATGAGGCGTTGGTGCAACGTGACCACTTTACAGCCCGGAATGAACTGTTCCAACGTACTTCTGTACCCCGTTGACAACTTCACACACCTCAGATGGGGGATCGCGGAAAACGCATTTGATGAAAGTCCTTCCGTCTCTGACCAATTAGTTGAAACTCTCGAATCAAGGGCGTATGTTTTTCATTATTACAACGATAGGACGCGTGTCATTGATGCCAATATTACTGGGAATTCTGCTGTTGCTCGACTGGCGAGGAAACATTGTCCCTTGGTTGCCGGGTTCTCTGGGGATTGGCTCTGGGGGTTTCACGACCCCGGCAAGGGATTCCAGTGATGATACTTTATATTCGTGTCCTCTGCTCAAATGTGTCGAGGGCTGTTGGATATCTACGCGTTTTCGCTTTTGATAATGATCGCCCTGTAATCATCACGTGAAAAAGAAAACTGAAAATGATTTTCAACATTGAATTGGTATAAATTAACGACTGATGGAACTTGAACATTGAAAAAAGGCTCTTAATTCAGCTTATAAAATTCGCGAAGTAATTGAGAAAATTCTTTCGAAGTGTACGTGAACAGGTGTAACAACTTTTGCGATATGTCGCCTTTTAAAACTCTGCGAGAAATAAATGAGGGCCTCATCTTACACTATACTCAATCATGTCTCTCAATAATATGCAATAGAATGGAGAGAAAAGTGTGAGACAAATATTAATGGAATTCGGGAACAATAAAGACCGGTGTTTTTCATCCAATGTTGTTTAAAATTTCGGTGTAGCGTTTCTTGAAAATACCTTGCCTGCTTGGTTGTGATACCACGTCATATTCTCACTGGCAAGATAAACAGTTGCTGAAAGTACTGCTAGTACTGCAAAAAATAAAGTTGCCAACAGCGATATTTCCGCTTGCTGTTCCAGTTTCGAGAAGTGAAATGACAAGAATCAGCATTCGCGTTCTCATTTCACAGGCCCCCCCGGATACGATTTATCGTTCAAAACATTTGTTTGCTGATACAATCAGAAAATGGATTTTGAAAAGGAATAACTTGTTACTGATCCCATGCTATGAAACAAGCATTTGAAGACACGCAGCTGATTCGAAAGGACTGTTATCCGCAATCCTGAATCGAGTGCAGAATTACAAAGAATTCATCATCAGACACTAGAGAAAAAATTCAACAAATGAATTACGGTACTCGGTTTTTCCTTATGTTTGAGATTCTGATACTCTTGAAAATCACTGATTCTGAAAACATTTGTAAGGAAAATGTTGGTTGTAATATCGTAAGTATTCCGAACTTCGCACGTGAACTGGGTCGCACAAAATCTCATAATTAGTGCTTCGAAATTCCTTCTCTTCCACATTTCATGAAAAGTTTCCATCATAATGAATCACTTGTAAGCAGAAACGAAATAATGTAAATGTGATTTGGTTTTCGAAAAGTCAATTTTATAATTTAAATTTGTTATGTACATCGTTCTTCTTTTCAAATTCTCACAAATTTTTTTTATTCGAAGAATTGTCTGTGTTTCAGAGCGTCAAACTTATTCGTTGGGAAAATGAGGCAATTTCCTTATTATTTTACTCGCCTTTTTTCAGTACTTTCCCTGGCAGTACTGAGGTGAGTTCTGATTTGATCCAAAGAAGGAACGTTGTCGTCTTCAGTTTACATAGCGATTCAGTGGGAAGACGGGAATAAACGCAAATGAATTATTTGGAGTTTTCAGAAAACATTGCACGCAAGGCGGTTCAGGATTTTATTTCAGTGGGATTTGCGAATTTTTTTTTATTTTAATCTCCAAGAGCTTTTGCGATGGAATGAAACCCACAAAGAAACTCATTTTGGTAGCGCAGAGAAAAAATGCATTCAAGTGTTTCAGGAAGGAGGAAAACCGTGATTTTTAAAACTTCTATTCAGTGATTTGGGAAAATACTGTTTTGATCATAATTGCATCCATTGTGGAATTTTCAAAACTTGTGCATGAACATTTTATTTCAAATTTTCGTAGCTTATTTGCTTTATTTTCCTGCCAATGCACTTTGTTTCCCATTTAGCAAAATTAAGTACCAATACAGTTTTGAACAAAAACAGATTGCATAAAAGATATATTTCAGTTACTCTTTTCAATAAAAATCATTGTGCAAACAGAGTTTCAAAAGGAAGTTTTGATGAAGGCTCACACGGCTTCCTGAGAAGTATAACCTCATAAAGGCTTGGAATGATTCTTGCAAATGTTTTGGAGCCCAGTGAGCACAGAGTTAGCTAAAACATGTCCAAAACTCATTCAAATGAGTTCCACAGATATTTTTGGAACTCATTTTGATGAGTTTAGGACATTTATTTGGAGCATATGAGAACTTGTCTGGCAGGAGCAGAAAATTTTTTTTCTGGTGCCAGTGTTTGGTAGACAAGTTTGGAGAGCATGTGGATTTAGCTTTTGACTTGTCTTCTCCAGCTAAATTTATATTAAACAAGGAATTCATCCTTTCAAGTGGGCTGTAGTGGTCTGGCTAATGTGGCTGACTTCCATGCAAGAGCTCCTGGGTTTGATCCCAGGGTGATAATCATCACTAATAAATATATCTATAGCCTAGAAGTAATCCCATCAATAGGATTACTTCTATAGACTAGTAATTATACAGATAAATAGGATTAACTCTTGGGCAGCAGTTCCAGGATTTATCTGCAGAATTTCATAACAAAAGGAGCAGGAAAAAAAGGTGAAAACCTTTTTGGGAGGAATCCATACATTTTTTTCTCTGAGCACAGACAAATTTTGCTAAAAAATTAAGAAAAATTTTTCTCTGAAGTTTTTTTCATTCCTCTGCTGTTTTGCTTCCCAAACCCAAAGATTATCTTAAAAACCAATCAATTAACATGGAATGAATAAAGATGAATGGCCAATTCATGGGTGACAAGATGATTCTTGGGTGAATAAGTGGCTGTGTGTTTATTTGTAAACTCTTTCATGATCTCCTTAACCCTAGGATGGCAGAGGGTTCTTTCCCAAAGCAGGACGGAGTTGGATTATTTTTGCATCATCCCAAATTTTCAGATTTTCAAAGGTCAGGAAAACCCTTCCAGGTGAGCTGAGGCAAAATCAGGATAAAATCTGAAAAAGCCGGTAGCTTAACTGAGCGCATTTTTTAAAATTTCCTGAAAAAAGTATTGGAATGCTTCCGCACAGTGTCCAAATATTTTATGAGATATTCCCAACAAAATCAAAGGCAGGGACAATGTAACAAAGACTCTTTGATGCTTTTGAATGAGGCTTTAATTTCAGAATGAGAGTGAATTGGCTATTCTGAAGTGATGTAATGATTATCACGCGCAGGAACGAGAAAAAAATTACAAGATGGAAAATTTCTGCATGAATTTCGCTTTTCAGGAACAGGCTCTTGTCCACGGTATCAGGCAACTTTCATTAAATATCTCCATTCTTGCTGAATAAGTTATTTCATGACATTTGACACATCTATAATTACTACGATACGTATAGTTAATTTACAGTTTTACTGGTTGATCGTAATTCGCCAAAAACTTTACTCGATTCCTAAGCAAAAGTGTATTGCTGTTTGTCAATGTGCTGAATTTATCCTGCAATGATCCATTTCTAACCCCCTCCATCTTTTGCTTCTATATTGAACATAATCACTGCTATAAATAAAATATTTGTAGCTGCATGCATTCTATTTTTATACATTCAGTATTTGATCAAATTCGTAAGACTTCCCAACTTCCCAAGAAAAGGGTCAAGCTTCAAATTGAATGCCAATGAAGATGAAGAATTCAGCATCTTCAGGAAATCTGTGAAAAGCCCTGCAGTGAGGGCTAATAAGCCCAATTTTTGAAGAACACGTGAATTTGAGTCGATGTATCCCCTGATTCTTCCCTGGCATGCTTGGATGAATCGAGATATTTTAAGAAGCCATTAAAAATTGCAGATTATTTTTGAATGTCCAAGACGTCAATTGCTGCTGAAAATTCACAAACATATTCAATAAACCTCGAATTACGTCTCGATTCTGTTATAGTACTGTACATTGACATTTTTACACGCTACCATGAGCCAGCACCCAGAGAATTCTGCGTTTTCGCGAGATTTCCTTTCCGTGATCGAGGTGTATTAACTAAGAGTGCGAACAATATTCACCTATTCGCGATTCAAGTTTATATCCATCCAGATTTCAACCATCAGGTTCTGAAGTCAATTGTACCTGGTGATGTGGGGAAGCATTTTTTTCTACATCTTGGATTCCGATCATCAAATGATCGAGTGCATCAAACATAAACATGTTTTCATTGTGACCCTGGGCTTGTTTCAGCGGGTGTATGTGTATGAGCTTTTCTGAGAACACACGAGACATGCTTAAAAAAAAAACCGCGAAAAACCGAATGTTTATTTTGATAGCCGGTTGTTTTTTTGCTACTCTCACGGTAGCCTTTTATTTTGCCAGTGGGCCGAAAATGTTGGACAAATCTGATCAAGACGACAAGTGAGTTGTATTCTTGTTGCTTTGCTGGTGTGTTTTTCATAATGCCTTTGATTACTTTCATGTTGATGAAATCAATGGATCAAAATCACCTTTTTGCCACAGTTGTGAAACACTTTGTTGTCCATAAAAATTGCATATTGAAAGTAACTAAAGAATTTCATCACAGTGAATGTCAATGTCAATGAATGAATGAATGAAAATAACACCTAATTTGCTGCTTTTCACCATTCATAAAGTTCAATCAAGATTTGCACAACCAAACCCTCTTCCCAAAACCCAACCCAAATCCACTCAATGACATTTAATCACTTCAGAGCAGGAAACAGAGGATACTGTAAAAGAGAGAATCTTTGATGAGAAATCATATAAGGCCAACAGTTTAACTTGATCCTTTCAGATTTAAAAAAGGGTCTCTTCATTAAATTCCAATACTTGTAAATCTTTCTTAAGCTTGTTTCTTTCAGTATGAAATGCTGGACATAAGAAGATAGGGTGCTCTGGTGATGCACGAAGTCATGTATTTATGCTGCAGGAGTTACACCACTTGGACACTTGAAAATTGGATGAACTTTTTACTAAAGTGCCATGAATTTGTCAAAATAGCTACAGTATCATCTATAAAGGGATGGTAAATGATGCAAATGGTTATAGTTAAGTATTGCCTCAAGCAAGATCAGCTAGTAATTTACTTGAGTCTACAACATCACAATTATCATGACAAAATTGAGTGACTAGGATCTTTTCTCTGCCTTTATTGGTGTTGAACTTGAGAAATTGAAAAAAATCTTCTGCAGATAGTATTGTACTTGATTCTGGGTACATTGCAGACAATTTAACATAGAATGTTTTAAACCATTGTAATTTCAAATTTACTGTAGTGGGTGGTTTGTTCTCAGATACTGTTAGCTTCCAAAATTCTTGAATTGCTTCAGTTGACAGTTGAATATTGGCTATTGCCAACCTATGCAAGAACATCAAAAAGCTATTGTTTACATTACACACTGCACAACAGCATCCAAACATCATTCTAAGAGCTCTGCTGCTGCATGATTTTGGCACATGAAAAAACCATCGGTAAAATAAGTTCTGTAATGTATCCATTTTTCTAAGAAGGCAATGTTCTGGCCATATTTCTATAGCCCATATATTGCAGCTGCCCACACCAAAGAGGCAAAAAAATGTCAATACCATTTTTGTGTCTTTCACCTCCAATATACTTCAAACACTATGTAATGTTATTAATCTGGAACATCCTACATTGAAATAATTCATGATGGGACTTGTTGCATGACAACCATTTTGCTAGCAAGCCCCTAGGTAAATCCCTAATTTTGAAAATGTGCAGCTCACCCCACAGGTCATTCCTGATTTGTTTAGATTTCTTATTGCTTTTGATGATAAAATCTCTGTCTTTGTGGCATTTATTTTTAGTCTATTAATGTTGCAATAGTCAACAAAATAATTTAGGATATTCTGCAGTGATGAATTTGAGGTTGCTAGTACAAGGTATTCATTTGAAGCAAACATATGGAGACCTAAATGAATTTTTTTTAATTATTGGTGTAAAAATTATACTGGAATTTTTTTAAAGCATGAGAGGCAATTAAATAATTTTTTTTTCAGAAGCACAAGAAAACTCTGTAAAGATAAAAAAGTTGTGAATCAGTCTTTAGTTTTTAGAGTAATCAATGAACCCAAGTTGGAAAGGCCTCAGTTGGAAAAAACCAAGGAAGGGTGAATCCTTTGGCATTTCAAAATCTCTAAACCTCATCCTATGCAAGGAATTCATGCAAAGCTATGAAGAATTCTTTTGATCTTTGTGTCAACTTTTTCTGCAGTATTATAAAAAAATATTTGACTTTTTACCAAATAATGGTTTGGTACAAAAATAAAGATTTTTGAATTATCAGGGCTCATGGGCACAACATTTTGAAGACTATCCTGACTTTGCTGCACAATGATCAACAATCATAAACACAGAATTCCTTCCTTGTCACTGGTGATGCTTCAAAATGATTCAGGTCATAGAGAACTTATAAATTTTAATTGTTGTCCATTAAATAAAACAACCTTCAAATATATAAAAATCTTTTATTCACAACAAACAAAGGTTTGAACAATATTCAAAGTAAAATATAACAGACAAGTAGTTTCAAGAGAATCTTGTTAAATGTACACAAGGTTCTCTGAGATGTAACAATGGTTGACACTGGATTAAATCTGAGGAATATAAGGTTCCTGGGTAATATATATACCTTCTCAGGTATATAGGTTAACAGTGGTCTTTCACATTTTCTTCATGAGTGCACACACCTCATGAAACAAACATCAAATATTCAGCACACAATAACAAGATACATATATACATATATGCAAAACAGTCTTTGAGGATATTTACCTCTGAAATCCATATTTCAGAGGTGCAGCTGCACAAGGGGCATTTGTCACTGTCAACAGTGAGGGGGAGTTTTATATTCCTTTAAAAAGAACAAAAGCGCATCATGCTGTTAACATGGGGTGACATGAGAAGGGAAAATTCAAAACAAGGAAACAGCTGCAGTGAGAAAAACCATGTGCGCTTCCTTGAAGCAAGTGAAAATTAAAAAGGAGATCCTCAAAACATATTCAAGCGTTTCCTGGATAAAATAATATTTTAATTTTGTTGACCAGTGAATATTTCTTACTGGAATGATCAAATCATAAAGGATCAAGATGTCAGTGGACCTTTTCAAATAAAACATAATTTTACAACAATTGCTTTTCCCTGATACAGGTACATACATATAAAAATCAAAGCATATATTTGTGTAACATGGTATTCATATCTAGCATGATGAAGTTGTTTTGCAGATGTCATTACCTTTTCTTTTTTCATGAAAACAGAAGCAACACCTGCCGTAGGTCATCACGTATCCATTTATAGTCCTACACAGTATCACCATATTTACTTTTGGTGTACTCCATATCCAAAACATTTTCTGTTGCCATGAAAAAAGCACGTGCATTATTATCAGTGCACATGAAGACGTATAAACTTGACCCAAGGGCAGGGTAAAAAAGTCAAAAACATTTCACCCTTCCATGAAGAATGATTTTCCGAAAAAAAGGAAGGGTATGCGGCCAAGAAACGATTTTTTGAGGACGCGATAAAAATAATATTTATGTTAATGTATGATTAAAAAAATTTTCAAGTCCCGGGTTTGTCTCCACTCTTTTTTTTAAATTCTCTTCGCTCATACGCCCTAACTGGTAGTTCTGAGTGAAAATAAAAACCCCTTCTCTTTTCAAATCAGACTGGTAGCACTACGCACGAAATCATTGATCATGTATATTAAAGGAAACCCCTAAAGTTCCCTTCTATATTCCGTGTTTCATGCTGCTGCTGGGAATTTCTAAATAAATTGATATTCTTACAATGGTTCCTCATCAGGGTGACTTTGGGGATGGAAGAATGTTGGTCAAAAGTTCTGCTCATGTCGGATTCAGGGATCATCAACTCCAAGCTGGATCTGAGCCTTTTCAGTCCCGAAGATTACGCGGAAGATGCAATATACATGATGGAAACATCAGGCAGACAATTGCTGAGTGCCAAACAGCTGTGCAGTGTGGAGTCCACAGCAAGGCTTCATCCCAGCAAAACAATCGTCCTGTTGGTTGCCTCAGATACAACGTGCACAAAAGAAAGAACGCGTTGGGGAAAAGTACTGGGTTTAAATTCCACATGTCGATGAGGGGAGATTCGAAAGTATTGAACTTTCCATTTCAAAATGCAGGAATGCATGACGGATGCATGCATTCCATGACAGGTGGTTATATTCTTGAGCATGCAGTCTTCTTCGACTGTCAGTTACATGGAGGAATTTTCAAATTCATGAGCCTCTACTCGGAATTTTGCATATTACAAAATGCATCGAGAGCTGTAAGGTGTGACCTCAACACATGGATGGATGGAAAGAAAAACCTCTACACAATAGACCTCATTTACAAATAAGTTCAAAATAATTGTACTGTATTTCAAGTTATGATCATTATATATTGTAAATCTGTCATGAAACACCCTGATGATAAAATAGCACATGTAAATAGCACATGAACGGAATTAAATGGTGGTGAGAAACAAACCTCATTTTTCCAGTATTTTTCAGAGTTATGATGCTTATACTGCAGAGAAATTCATGTTACGAGGGATTTTCTTTTGGTTAAAGTAGGATTCTCTCCCCATGTTATAAAGGGTTCTGTGCAACGAAATTCGAAATTTTCTCTTCAAAGATTGTTTTCTGGTCCCTTGAATTTAATCGCAAATAGAGTAAACCTGTATTTGTGTGGGCCACTTGTATTCCCTGTAATCCATTACACAATAAATATGGACACATTTTATAAATTTCCCAAGTAATTAAACCAGCATGTTTTTCTTACAAATACAGAGTAATATTTGTGATGATATTCAAATTTTTGCACTAGTTCAAATTAAGTCATTAAAGCCAGATGCTTTGATAGGATGGATACTATTTTTCAAAATCAAATAAAAATTCTCTCGATGCAGTGGAATCTCATTGAAGAGAACCTTGTTACCACATATTAAAGCGTTTGTCAACAAATTCAAAGGGCAAAGCCAGATTTTATCAGGGGATAAAGAACTATGAAGAACCTTGTTGTTTTTTCTTATCTGAACTTTTTCCATATTGACATCTTTCTGAGGTCCTGCCTTTCAAGCTTGAAATTAATTTTTGAATGTAGAAACAGCACAAACCCAGGGAAAATTTGAGCCCTGAAGATGCCATTTTGTAAATTTTTGAGTAAAATATTTCTGAGAAAAATGCTAGGATTTTTCACAACTTTGCCAAGCACATTCTGTCTTGGTTTTTTTCAACCCATCTTTACAGCACACATTAAAATTAAAAAAGGCCAATATAGTCACTGAAGGTGTGGCAGAATAATTGGATCACCAATTACTATATATAGTGTGTGTCAAATTATCTAGAATGTTCTGGAATAATTGAATTGGGCTGCTGCGGCAGTCCCTTTTAATTGAATATTCAAACCATTAATTTATCTCTTTCAGAAAATTAGGTGCAACAGAGCAGATTCCTGGAAGGGAGAGAGTGAAAACCATGGAAGGTCACTCTTTCAACTTTTTTGATATTCCTTACTCCTGAGTCAGTTTGCTGCCAGTCATCATTCAAATTGTTTCTGATATTTCTAATGTACTTGTGTTTTGTGATTTAATTATGGGGAAAAAGTGAAATACATTTATCCGTTTATGTTTTTGGGATTTCCTAAGGAAAAGGAAATCCCTAGCTGAACCCCACAGCTGAATGATGGTTTTATTTTTGGAATCTATCCTTTTCTTTACTCCTTTTGTAATCCTCAATTACAGAAGGGGAAGAAACACTTTGTTGTAACAACCTTCTGCTGTGAGATGAGCTCAGAATTATTATTTTTTAAATAGAGCATGAAAGGTGTCTGAAGTGGCAGGAATTTAAAAATCGGATTCCCGCCTGGCAGAGATCTTTAGAAGAGTCATTTCTTTTTTCCTTTTCCTCCTTATATTATATATTTCCTATCCCCCACGGAAATTGGTGGTGTTGGCGGTGAGGAATTCGGTTAGTGGTATGGTTCCGGCGTCCCCGTTGCCCATCCGTCGCGGGGATTGTCAACAGCGCTGATCAATTCCGGCCTCGTGGCAGATGTTGGGCGGCTTTTCATTTTATTTTCTCTTCTTTTTAGGTGATAATTTTTTTCATCTCCTTCCGAATGTCTGTCTCTTTCCCTCCACAGGAGTATTTCTTAGCTGCTGTTCCTGCTGCTGCTGCTGCTGTGTCTCATTTTCTTCTTTCTGGTGACTTTGTATCTAGTTTCAGATCACCAGCGTTTTTTTGCAGCCTGCTGCTGATCCGTTGCTTACCGCATACCTACGCGCGCGCGCGCAAAAAGTCGCAAGCAGCAGCTGTTCAATGCGCCGGGGATATCCGATCTTCGAAATCAGCTTTTANGCGGAGCGTCTTCGACGGCGCGGCGGCGCAAAGATGGTGGCGCGCATGCGCCGGCGGAGGAGGCTGGAATGGAAGAGCAAAATGGTTATTCCAGTTCGGTGGCTCGCCCAGGGCGGATCTCCGAAAAGTTCTGAGAAAGTGCTAAGAGTTAGGTAGGAAAAAAGTCAGTTTTTGTCAAGAGTCAGAGTGGAAGTGTCTTAAGGTCAAGTCCGTTAGGCAGTGTTTCGTTGTCGACTTTCATTTAGTCTTGGTCGGCTCCCGGAAAGTTTGAGGCGGCGTTCCACTCGGTGTAGGCTTCGGTGTTTGTTGGGGGGCCCCCTGAAAGGAAGACGAGCAACAAAGAGACATGCCTAGGACTTACTGCAGACTCGGACGTCCCAACCGCGCTCCATATGAGCCGGATCGTTTTAGGAGACGGAGGCTCGACATCCCGACCGCGCCTCGAAAAAAGGCCGGATTTAGGGGATGGAGGTGCGCATGTTTTTGCTCGACGTCCCAACCGCGCTCCTTCAGAGCCGGACTTAGGGGGCGGAGGCTCGTGGTTTGCTCAACATCTCAACCGCGCTCCTTCAGAGCCGGACTTAGGAGATGGAGGCTTCGTAGTCGCAGAATCGTGTTTGAGGTGGCAGGAGGTCGGTCGGATTTCTTTTGTGCGTGTGTGTGCGTGTGTGTGCTCCGTGGCTGCAGTGTCTGATGTTGTTGATCCATTCTTTCAGAAAGCATCGCGTATCGCCAAAAAACCAAACGGGCGAGCACAGTCCCGAAGCCGAACGCGTCGTAAGGCAAAGAAAAGTATCCGCGCGTCGGTCAAGGCGGCGCAGAACGCGAACAGATCCTCAATCATCATCAGGTGCGGAGCAACGACAACAGCAACATCGACCGGTATCAACAACGGACCAGAGGACGACCGATTACGCCGACCGAAAAATGGAATCGTCGCGCAAACGAGAGCGAAGCGGCGACGAGACAGAGTCTCCGAAGCGTCGTGCGTCGGAAGATGACGCTGTCGCAGGACCATCATCCGGTACGTATACCCCAGCCCCTCAAACGGTAACCTGTTAGGCATTTACCTGAATCCGTGCCTGTTTTTGATGTGTGATAGCTCCTGACGGCGCGGCATCGGTGATCCCGAATGCGGCAGTGGCGAACAGTGAGACGGCACCCGTGGCTGAGCCGGCGGGGCCGATGGTCACGATCGAGGTGCCGGCCGCTCTCGAAGGAGGAGTCGCCGCCCTGCGGGGTCTGAGCGCGGCTGGGTGGCAGAGTGTCTTGGCGCTTTTGCCAGCAGCGACGTCGGTGGAGGAGGCGACGGCGCAGCGCGTCTACTTGGAGACGCGCGCTGCGCGTGAGACGGCGGCCGCGCAGGCGGCTCAAGAGCGCCTGGTGTCTGTCCAGGAGTCGGTTCAAGGCATCGTAGCTGCCGTAAGTGTAGCAGAAACGGTTGGACGCCAGTTGCGCGTCGTGGAGGCAGATATGAACGCCCGTGAGCGCGAGCTCACGCGGCGTATGGCGGCGCAGTTCCGCGCCGGTACACGGGCCGCCCTGATGGCGGTCAGTCAGGCCTTCCCGCGAGGCGGGAGGGTCTTTCTAGATGAGGCAGATGTGACAGTCCAACAGGAAGGTTAGTAGTTCCCCTCTCTGTTTCGATGTTTTAGTGTTAATGCCTGCGTGTTGTGTGCTGCAGGACCTTTATGGATCGCCCGTTTGGCGACGGATCCGGAGGTGATATTCACGTGGGGACCCGTTGTCAACCTGGTCCCGGCGTGGTATAGCGCGACGCTGCCCGGGAGTGACGTCGCATCGGCGGCATTGGGAGCGGCGGCTGCATCGACGGTGGCAGCCGTGAGGAGCCAGGTTCCGTTATGCAGCGTGGCGCCGGAGCGACGCGCTACGCCTGAAGCTGCACCGTCTGGCTCGACTTCATCATCAAGCGGGCGGATGGCGACAGAGACGCCCGAGCCGCCCCGAACGCCCTGCGCGTCGTCGTCGTGCGCACGCGCCGACTCGGGGACGCCGGACGTTTTCGAGGACGAATTGGACGTCGAAATGATCGACGCGCCGCCTGGTGAGATGCTGGACAGCGAAGCGCTGTAAGTGTAGATCCTTAAACCGATGTGCTCCCATCTTCCAGTTGCGGATGTGCCCGATGCCTCGTCGGTCGAGGTGGTCGCACATGAACATTCGTGGCGCTTCGAGCCAGCGGAGCCCATTTCATACCTGGCGAATGTGCGCCGTCGACGGGGCGCAACAGGAGAGCGGCACCGCTTCATGCGGAACAATCAGCTGCCGACTCCAGGTTGCACCGTGTCGGACTACCTGTTCAGGTGTGCGCAGATGCGTGGGCCCCCCATTCCACGGGGGTTTAGCACGGGTCGCCGGTGCGTATTGATCATCGGGGACTCGCTGCTATCGATGTTCCGGCTCACGAGGGAAAATTGTTGCTGGTTCGGGCGGGTGTCTACCCGTTCGTCGACACCACAACCTGTTTTCGACTATTCACACCTGACGGAAGACCTGCCGTTCGAGGTGTTTCAGGTCAGTATTGTTGTAATGGGCGAGCTGCGCT